CGTCAGGAACTTTCAGGGTCTTTGACAAAGTGTCAGAACAGGGAATATTACACCCCCGAGAGGCAACTGCATCCCCAAAAAGCTGCAGAAGAGAAAGGAAGCTAATGAAGTTTCAAAATCCACAGCATGAATATTCAGCTTTCATTTTATTTTAGTTATAAAACAGTTTCCAAAACACAAAGTTTTAAAAAACACACACAAACACAAGTTTTTATTCGTTCTTCAGTTGCAGAAAATAAATAGCATCACATATTCCATAGGCTTGTCTATAAAAACATTTCTAAAACCGTCATTTACCAGATTCAACAGTATAAGCTTTTTGGCTTCTCAACTGCAGGTACCATAGAGTAGACCATTTTATTTTATTAACTTTTTAAAGCATTTGGCTCAAGCAACTTTGGAAAAAGGTTGTGAGCTTAAATATCTTATTCTAAGTTATTTCTTACATAGTTAAACTAAAACAACCAGATCTTATTTTATTTAAGAGGAGAATAAAGTATTTCTTTTATAAAAATTGCCCCCCAACTCACACACGCCTGACCTGACATAAAAAGTTGGTCTATCTTCATAGGAATCAACAAGAAGAGGGGTACGGGGACAGGGACAGGGATAGGCAGAGCAGGAAAACTCCTGTGGAAGACGCCAGCAAGCGTGAGCCCGCACGGCGTCATTCCTACGTTTCCAGTTTGGCCCTCAGAGTTGTACAGATGGACAGCGTTCAGTCATCTAAACCGATGTTTCTGAAAAGGTAGGACATGGACTCCCCGTTGTGAATCCGACGGATTGCTTCTGAAAGGATCATGCTGATATCCACAGTTTTAATCTTGGGGCACTGGAGTTTCTGGATTTCGTGTGGAATTGTGTTGGTGACCACCACCTGTGAATCAAGAGAAAAAACAAAGAACACCAAAAAGCCAAGTAGCTTCATGCTTTGGTCTGAAAATGTGATGTACTCCCAAAATCTCTAGGTTCTTCTAGACAGGAAGACAGTCTACCCTACAACAACGTTTCTAGTTAATGTGAAGCTGCCTGTGTTTCTTAGTTTCTTAGGTTAAGGTTTTGTGTTTTTTCTTTTTTTTTTTTTAGAGACAGGGTCTTGCTCTGTCACCCAGACTGGAGTGCAGTGGTACAGTCAGAGCTCACTGCAGCCTGGAACTCCTGGACTCAAGAGATCTTCGTGACTCAGCCTCTCAAGTAGCTGGCATGGGCCAGCTACAGGCATGGGCCACCACGCCCAGCTAATTTTCTTATTTTAGAGACAGGGTCTCACTATGTTGCCCAGGCTGGTCTTGAACTCCTGGCCTCAAGCAATCCTCCTGCCTCAGCCTCCCAAAGTATTGGGATTACAGGCATGAGCCAGTGCACCCAACTAAGATTTGATAACCTCATACCCACTAGGACAGCTATAGCCAAAAAGACAGTTATAGCAAATGTTGGTGAGAATGCAGAGAAACCAGAACCCCCATCACTGCTGGTGGGATGGAAGATGGTTCAGCTGCTTTGGAAACCAGTCTGGCAGGCCCTCAAAAGTTTAAACATAAAGTTACTATATGACCCAGCAATTCTAATCCTAAGTATATATCCAAGAGAATTGAAAACATGTCCATAGGCCAGGTGTGGTGGTTCACACCTGTGATCCTAGCACTCTGGGAGGCCAAGGTGGTAGGATTGCTTGAGCTTAGGAGTTGGAGACCCTGAGCAACAGAATGACCCTGCCTCTACTAAAAACAGAGAAAAAAAATTGCCAAGCAACTAAAAATACAAAAAAAAATAATTAGCTGGGCCTGGTGGTGGGCACCTGTAGTCCCAGCTACTTGGGAGCTCTGTATTCGTAAGTCATTTCCTTACATCAGTTAACCTAACCTAAACGACACCAAGACTTATTTTTATTTAAGAGGTAGACATACCAAGTATGGTTGCTCTCCCTATAAAATTTCTCGCGCCCCAACTCACACACGCCTGACCTGACATTAAAAAGTATGGTCTACTCTTCCATAGGAACTCAACAGAAGAGCGGGTACGGGACAGGGACACGGGATAAAAACAGCGACTCACTGTGAACCCGGCGTGGAGCCGCACGCGTCTTACCATAAAACGTTTCCAGTTTGGCCTCAGAGCGTAACAAATACACATATATATAACAAATACCACACCCGATGTTTCTGAAAAGGTAGGACATGGACCTCCCCCCGTTGTGAATCAACCGGATTGCTTCTTAAAGCGATCATGCTGATATCCACAGGTTTTCTAATCTTGGGCACTCGGAGTCTTCTGGATTTTGCCGTGCTGGGAATCTGTAATCTGGTGACCCACACACCCTGTGAAATACAAGAGACAAAAACAAAGAACACCAAAAAGCCAAGTAGCTTCATGCTTGTTGGTCTGAAAACTCCGCCGATTGTACTCAAAATCTCTAGGTCTACTAACACGGGAAGACAGTCCTACCCTACAGCAAACGTTTCTAGTTAAATGTGAAGGATGCTGGTTTCTTAAGTTTCCTTAGTTCACAGGGTGTCTGCGGTGTTTTTTCTTTTTTTTTTTTTAGAAGACCAGGGTCCCTTGCTCCTGTCACCGCACGACTGGAGTGCCCAGTGGGTACAATCATTAGCTCACCTGCAGCCTCCAACGGGCCCTGGGCCTCAAGAGATCTCCTTCCGTGACTCAGCTCACTCAAGCTCAC